GGGGGGGTATTCTTTTAGTGCGTTTGCCCGGGGAAGATTTGCGGGTTGGGGATTTGCCGGACATCGCTGAGTTACGCCATGATGATAGGTCGGACTGTGGAGTTGAAATGAGAAAGAAAGTGGGGGAAATGGGGTATATAAGTGAGTGGTTTGGTGAGCAGCAGGGAAGTGGTGTCCGTTAGCCCAGGTGGTTTACTAAGGAGTGGTTGGCACTGATGGTTGTTTGTGGTTGGAGGGCGCCACTGGTAAAGTCATACTTCTTTACTTTTCACCTGTTGTTTCAGTCTGTCTATCCTACGTTTACCCAGCACTAAGTAGCCATTATTGTGTCGATGTGCTTCTCTCTGCTCTAACAAACGTAACACCTCTAATCCTCGGCACTTATATGACCTTATTGTGTTGCAAGTGCGTAAAACTCTTACTAAAACTAAGACAAGCACTGATGGTTCGAATTCCCGGCTGGGGGCTCTGGAACTCGGAGACTTTTGTGGAGTTTTTAAAGTTCTTAGTTCGGCTGGATTGGTCCCATCGGAGAAGGATGTTTAAGTCGGAGATCCCGCCTCTTGAATAACCGTGCTGAGTTGATATGGGCGTCGGTTGTCCAGTGGTTAGGCTACCGGACTCATAATTGTGAGGTTGCGAGTTCGGGGGTTGGAGCCGCAGACCCGACTTTGTGTCCTTGGGAAGGCACTTTACATACGTGAATTTTCCTCACTTCACCCAGATGGGAACGGGTACCCGGCTATAGACAGCGAGAGATCTTTTCGGAGTGTGAGCATTTTAGCGCTAAAAAATGGCACGCTTTTTTACGCTCTCATACCACATACTCACGCACCTTCTGGGAGAGCCAGAATACCTAATCTGTGATTTTAAAGATTCTGTTCTATAACCTCTGAGCCTTTCAGATGACCGCCCCAGCGCCCATGATGTTACGGTTAGGATCGTTCCTTGCATGCAAACAGAGAGTTTGCCTGTTTGCGTACCATTTAGGGGGAATATTTATTTGTTAGTATTCTCCTTTGTATTTCTCATTGCATGATTTATTATATCCGCCGTCGGCTTGCTTGGCCAGTCACGGCTTCCACCAGAGCCCCTTTACCCAGCAACGGTTCGGGGTGACCCGGGTCGGCCTTCACGGGCCTAGCGTAACGCCTCAGTGACATAAAAGTCGGACCGTACTTCACACAGACCCAGCTATCCCTTACTTTGTCCTGGTTCCACCACCCCTCCTCCCATTTTTTAACTGCCTGGATGTAATATAGGACGCAACCCAGGATGACTGACGTGGTCGAAGTATCCCGTCCTCCTTAATCATTGAAATGTTTTTTGTTTGTTTGTGTTTGTTTTTGTGTGTGTGGGTTTTTTTTCATAAAACATGAACAAGTCGAGTCAGGTTGAATTGGTGCTTACATGATGACCAAAATAAAACATTTACTCAGCCAATCAATCAATTTGATTGAATAACGGTTTTTGTTTTAGTAAAGGCCTATTTGAAACGCAGTCACGATCATGTTCAATTCCACAACCTTTGTGGTGTGCATGAAGTACAATATACAGCCAAACCTGTATGAGACAATCACCTGTACCAATAATTAACCCCTTCCCACGCCCATCCCCCTTTGCGATTCTTTAAAAAAAACAAAACATTATCATGACACTGTGTACGACGATCACCTGTCTAAGACGGCCACTTTTCTTCCCCCGACAATGGGTGACCGTCTGAGACAGTTTTGAGTGTCCATCATGTACTTACTTTGACGCTCCTCGTCGGCGACATGTCCGACTTTGACTTGACAAGTATCGGTGCTTGCGGTGACTTGGACATTTTGTGATCGTGTGGGTTTCTGAACACTCTACTGTTCTGTTTATTCCGTAGATATCACTAGTTTCAGTGCCAGGGCCTAATGACCCACTTCATTGTAGTACATGTAGTAGTAGCGCAGGTCGTTGGAGGGTACCACTGGTAGGCGGTCCTACTTCTGTTTTTTCCTTCTGTTTATCTTTCCCTTGCCTTTTCTCCTGCTCGAAATGACTTGTAACTGTGTCGACGTGCTTCTCTTTACCCGAACGAACCAACCAACCAACGAACCAACAAACAATCCTTTGATGGTTAGTCGCTCACTCTCATTAAGAAACTTGCAACAGAAAACAAGCCGGCCCAGAGTCTAGAAGTTCACTCGCACCCGATCACTGGAAGAATGATTTGGAAGCAAGTCGATGGCGGGGGCCGTGGTTAATGCAGTCTTTGTGTTGATCAGGACGTGGTTATTCTGAGTTTTCTCCCCGCCTTTGAAATATTTTCCTTTGCTTAATATGCGATCCATAAACCGTTTCACGTTCAGTGTGTGTGTGTGTGTGTGTGTGTGTGTGTGTGTGTGTGTGTGTGTGTGTGCGCGCGTGGGTGTGTGGGTGTATGTGTGTGTGCGTGTGTGTGGTCGTAGTATGTCGCCTCTATTTGACGTTCCCACCACTGGCGCTATAATTACAGGACTTGGAATCTGCGGGTGGTTGCAGGTGCTCTGGTGTGGTTTGCTTCTTCTGTCCTATATCCAAATCTTTCACCCTTAATTCCTCCTCCTTGTCTTTTTATGTTACTCTCTAGTAACTCCTCTAATCTTCGGCGCCTATGCCGTAGAACTCGTACTAAAACTAAGACAGGACTTTGGCATTGTTATAAAAATGCACAATGCACACTTTAGGTTGAAAAGATTTGGCACCTTAGTTGCTGTCTTATAAATTGATAAGGGGGGTGGGTGAGGGTTCGGAACGGGTATTTATCCGACTGACGAGATATTGGCTTTGGCTTTCAGAGGCATTAAAATCTCACACAATCCTCTCGACATATCCACAGTTCACAAAAATCCGACCGAGACAGCGACCCATTAAACATTTTCTTTAAAAAAATGGTTTAAGACGTGATTAGGAGAAGTTCACAGAAAGTCGTCCTAGTTCAAGACGTGGAGTCGTTAAAAGTTCACAGAAAGTCGTCTAAGTCGCAGGGCCATTAAAAGTTCACCAAAATTCGCCCAAGACGTGGAGTCACTAGAAGAATTTCACAAAAAATCGTCCAAGACGTGGAGCCATTGAAAGTTCACCAAAAAATAATCCACCCGAGTTGACGAGACTTCAGAAGTTCACAAAATCCTTTGGTGGCGTTTTAAAAGTTGACACAACCTCCGTGTGGTCAGTCGTGCCGTGTGTATGTCTGCTAGTGTGTAAGTGTATGTGTATGTCCGTGTGTACCTGTTGGCGCACGTACGTCCCCCGAGACGAGCCAACACTGTGGGTACCACTGACAACTGTAGGCTAGGCTTGACTTGACACAGTCGTGTAGGTGCTGATACCGAGTACCCCATACTGAGTACTCCGTATCGACTACTCCGTATCGAGTATTTGGCTGCCTCAGAATTACAAAGTTCCATCTGACATTTTTGGCATTTTTTGAGTTACAAAGCCGATGAGTCGGTGGTTGGTGAGTGCTCGGGTGTGGTTTGCTTCTTCTTTTCCATCAAACATCTAACGTCCTTATCTCCCCTCCTTCTTTTTTGTGTTTGTTACTCTCTTGTAATACCTATAATCTTCGGCACGTTTATGACCTTATTGTGTTGCAAGTGCCGTAAAACACTTACTAAAACTAAAACAAGCAAACAAACATTCATAGCTGGTGGGATGGTAGGAGGGCGCCATGTGTTTGTCTCAATTTTTTCTCTCTTTTTTTCTGTTGCTTGTCTCTTTTCTTAGCAGGTGGGTGGAGGACGCAACTGGTTTTTGTCCTACTTCGTTCTGTTCCTTGGTTTTTTCTTCTTTTTTTTCTTTTTTCTGTCTGTTGTACCTTTTCCTTGTAATGACCGTTATTGTGTCGTTGTTCCTTTTCTATCAACTCAAACTCTGACTCAATTGTCTATCTTGCTTTCCCCCTTCACTGATAACCGTCATAGCACGGGTGTCTTTGTCATTACTTGAACGAACCAACAAACGAACATGATTGTTCGGGTTCTTCGTTACCAAAGTTGGTACATGTGTATCTTACTGGACGTCCCTGGTTGTTCTTGTCCTCAACGGGGGCATTCTTGAACTTTGGCTGTTTGGGGAGTCTTAGTATTATAGACTCTCCAACTACTTTCTACTGATCCCGTTGATCCCAACAGAATTCTGGATTTTATGAAGGTCATTGGTCTTTATGGGAAGTTGGAAATGGAATTGTTAAAAATTTACAAATGTTATTTAGAAAGTTGTTTTTATTTAAGAATCTATTTACACTCAATTTTTAGCTTTTTAACATTTTAATTAGAAATATTGACCAAAATCAGGTCGTGCGGTGAACTATTGAGATTAAAACCAACTTGTTTCGCGCGCTCATATGACCTTATGCTGTTGCGAGCGCCGCAAAACCCTTACTAAACAAACAAACTTTCTTCTGTTATTGGAGATGATCTTAAATCTGGAGTCCTTGCCTTTTGAATGACTTAAACTGTGATGGACTGTAGGTGAAATCCTTGTAGTCTATGAAGTCACTCGTGTTTTGAAAGCCGTGTTTCTACCACCACCACCACCACCACCACCACCACTACAACAGTATTACCATCGCCATAACTACCATCATTGTCGTTATTATTATTTTGTTGAAATCATTATTGTTACTCGTTTTTGTTGTTGTATGTTTTTTCAGTGGTTGGTTGGCGAGTGCTCTGATGTGGTGTGTTCCCTCTTTCCTTATATCTCTCCTCCTTTTTGTGTATGTTTCTCTCTTGTAACACCTCTAATCCTCGGCACTTACGCTTGTATATAATATATATATGACCTAATCGTGTTGGAAGTGCGTATATATTTATGTTTGTTACTCCCTTGTAACACTTGTAATCTTCTGGCGCTCATATGACCTTATGCAGTTGCGAGCTCCGTAAAACCTCTACTACTAAAACAATAAAACAAGTCGTACGTTTTCAGCTGTAGCAGTACTCGGTATCGACGCCGGAAGGCAGAAAAACGAAGTGTGGATCGAACCGTATAGTGGTATCAGTGGTATCATCAGGCCAGTCGTACACTGACTGACTGGGTGGCGCTGCTGGCTTTTGTGTTGTGTCGTTCTCGATAGCCTCGCTGTGGCAGTGGTGAAAAGTGTGTTGTATCAATACCTTTGGAGATTAGGAACACACGGGACACCCC